CGCTCTATGGCATTGTTCTGCTGGGATTGTAGTCATGGTGACAATCCGGTCACAGCTTTAAAAAGACTGTAGAATACAGCAATGTTTTGAGGTAAGTTTGCATGTGTGCATAGTTATTAATTGGTTATTTTAACACAAAAGTATCACTGAGCATCAGTGAAGCAGGCGAAAAACGTAAACTCGTGTAGATAAACGTTTCAAACGTATCTACTCGGCGGTATCTACTCCTAACTCCTTGTAAGTCACCACTGACATTTCCACATATTCAGCAGCTGAAATGCATCATACCGATCTTTACAATCCGGGTACTGTCTGGAAGCTACCGAGTGATGTTAACTCTCAAGACTGAGCTACAATCGACTAAATAATCCTATTGTCTAGAGCTCTGCAGTCTGTGCCCGTAAATTCCACTCGATTGAAGTCATCGTGGACACTGCGCTAATCTGAGCAAACACATGCGCCTACGCAGACAGATATCTGTCGAAAGTAAACTGCCCAATAATGCTCGATTTGGCGGCACGGTGATCAAACCAGGCGTCTTCCAACGACGCCTATAAGGGGCGTCATCTGATACGGCTTTTGTTCTTTTATCGTTTCACGCGCTCTGAACCCGGTAATTACCTGCAGGACCCGCGTCGATGGTATCAGCTCAATTAAAAGCCTCCATTCTGCGACCCCGATAACGCACAACGCTAGCAGCGCACTATCACCCAATCAGCTATGCCGACTTGCGAAATATCGGGCCAATCGTGGACCTCCGCGAAGAAACGCCCGAGGGCACGGCGAGCGACTCCACCCAGACCGCCGGCGGCGGCTCGCGAGCTGACCTATGACCCCGGGCCGGGGTGGCGTCCCGTTCAGCCATCTCAAGCATTTGCTGTCGGCGCAAAAATGCGGCTCTACCCCTGCTGCAATCATCGCACGTTGCAGGTGATGCCGTGCAGCCCTGCTGCGGGCCACGGACCTGCTTAATTCGATAGCGATCTTCGTCGGGTGTTAGGCGAGACCGCTGCGCCAGGAGGACGATGCCTGGTGGCGAGAAAGTAGACGCACGGGGGGCGGCGGCAGGAAAGGGCGCTCTTTGTGCGGCCGTGCGACGGCCCGCCTGCCTGGCCACCTGCCTCGAGGCTTTGAAGCGGGGTGTGTGTGTCATGGTGTGTAGGTTTACGTCATAATTATGCTCGTGAGTCTGCCACAATGTGCGTTTCCCCGCAATGGCGTGAACATCAAAAACTAAGCGGTGATCTGTTGCGCTCCGCGGTGCGAGAAGATTGCAAACTGTGCACTACACACCATTCGAGCAGGGAGTTTGTGCAAGCATTCAAAGTTAGCCTCATACTGCATCACAGACACCGACCAACGTCGTATTGGCGGTTGATGAATGGTTGCTCAGATATCATTTCCTGGTCTCAGTCAGTTGGAACCGACGAAGCGTCCCAGAAAGACGTGTGGTAGTCCGAGCTCGATACTCTGTCGTGACCTCCTGACCCGTGATTGATAAAGATGTGAACTGACAGCTTGCCGACCTGTCTCAGCTCCCCATAATGAGAATGAGACGATGTTTGCACCTACGTTGCTACAGCAACAACACGATACAGTATAGTACGATACACATGGCAACTGAGGCATGCATGCGGCAGGCCGAGCAGCCTGTCCAGCTGTTCAGATCAGGGGATGGTGGGATGGCCTTACCGTTTATGCCCGTGTTGGAATGCTGGAAGCCGTGTGCTCCAGTTTCCTCAGACTAATTTGACAGACGTGAAGTAACACCACGCAGTGGTCATTGTCTGATGTCAATAGGGTTTTCACGTTTTCAATAAATTCCGATGCGACAGGGCTTACCGGGATATTACTGTACCTGCACAGAAAATGCGAGGGGTCAAGATAGCATACAGGAAATAGCTCGATGATTGCATCTTCCCTAACCTTGACAATTGTTTTGAGCTTAATTACAAAAAGGATATACACATTTGACGGCCTGCAATTGCCACAAAATTGCATTCCAGCGCCGTTTGTGCTATGCGAAGTAAGGCACCATGCATCGTGTTTGCCATCAAGCAGTCTCAGCTGGGTTTGATACTGAAGAAAATACGCATGGCACAACAGCAAACTAAGACCCCGGAGAGCCTACCACAAGCGACCTGCTAATTTTCCAGCTTTGGTTACAGCCACGCCCGTTTGTTTCACCGACCCAGCCCTTGCCCAGCACCACTGCCCTCGGTAGCACCGCCGCCCTGCCGTGCTACTGGAGGGCCCGCACGTCTCGCCAACTTCCCACCACCGGCGGCTCGGGCGGGCTGCCCTCCTGAGCGCGTCTAGCTGCCGACAGAGGGCGGGGAGGGGCGTCTGGCGACTCAGTGCCAAACTTCTGCAATAAGCCGCCGGGCACGGGCCACGGCCGCGATGGGGAGACTTCGCCGTGGCACTGCAGGGGGGGGGGGGGGGGCGAAGTGGCAGCCGGGGTCCAGAAGACACACTCACGGCGTACGCCTCACGGCTTAATGACGTCTGTCAGTGGCCGGTGCCCGGCGGGCTCAGACTTCACATGGGGAAATACACACGCCGCTTTATCATATAGACGATTTCCCGCGTCCATTGGTGTTCCGAGCGGGTGCTTTATTGTCCCGGTGCTTAATGTCTCATGACAGTCCACCTGCCAGCCAAGCTAAATGCTATAATTTTCATATTCAAGCAACAAATGTGCGCCTTTGTCTGGCCGCGTGATGGATGAGTGCTTTCATGCACACCGTACAAAACTGGACCATTGCCACGCCCTTGGGCCCGAATAAATTACGGCTGGTCGCTTGTTGTTCATGAATGACCATGGCCGGAGTGACTGATACTGTTGTTGACCGATCATTATCCCGCCACTACACGCCCATTACTTCATTCATCCCCCAGTTTGTCACCCCTCTGCACGAGTCCGCCCCATCCGCTCGTTGGCACCCCTTCCGGCACGTGCTACCGCCACCATTAGCGCCCTATGCGGCGAGCCATTACCCCATCGTCGCCGCCCATGACCTGCCCCACCCGCGCCCGATCCGACGCAGAGGCAGGGTGCGAACGCCGACCGCTCGCAATTACCGTTGTTTTGTCGATTGGATCGGGCGTGTGCGTGCGGGGCCGCGCGTGTGTGCACGCGGCGTGACCGCGGCGGGTTAATAGCTCGTGCCGACAACCGACACGCGATAGCCGAGATGAAGGCGTGAGTCCAGGTGCTCGCTCGCACCCGGCAAAAACCTAATTAATGGTGGTCATCTGCGCTTAATTAGCGGAGTTTTTCGCGGCGGTGTGGTCACCGGGTAGGGTGAGGGGCGGCCGCGGCGGCCGTGCGACCTGAATCGCTGGAGGTCAGCAGAGGTCACGGACCCGCTGAGAGCAGTCCTGTGCACACCGTACCGCTCAACCTCCCAGGTAGCTATTAAGAGTGACCCATGATGCTCGAGTCGGCCCGTGCCATGGCATGGCATTTGACTCAACAACGGCTTGTTGGATCAAGACAAAGTATAAATGTTTGTACGTTCTTGCACTATGTACTCCATCTCAGTCGTTGTCTGTTCGTTCCGGTGGATGCCGAGTCGGTGATAGCCCTCGTCGTTGGAAACCTACAAAGCAAGGCTGCAGGCACGGTTTCATGATAACTCGAGGCAATGCGCGTTTTACTGGCCGCAGTGCAAGAAGAAACAAGGAGGAACTGAATCACTGATCATTGAGCTTGATCGAAGACATCAAAGTGCCCCCAATCAACCAGCACATTTCCAAGAAGTCGGCATATTTCCTCCCCTCCCTTGCAGTCGCAGCCTGGGTGCGTCCATGGGCTCACCTGTGGTCGCGGCGTGATGCGAGCCCGCGGCGGCCTATGACTGCTTCCACCAGGTGGCGCCTGCACCTGCACCTGGCGCCGGGTGGCCGGGTGGCCGGGTGTGAAGGCCACCTCGGGCGGCCCGCGCCGGGGAGCTAACACCCCGGCTCTCACCTCGCCCAGGTGAGAGAGCTCCGGTCAGTCCGTGCCCCAGAGGTCGGTGGACCTGCACTGGGCCGGGCCGAGATCTGGCAGCGCTGATGGGAGATAGCCCTGCTCAGACGCGTGAGCCGATCGGTGATGGGAAAGGGCTTTCACTAGGTTAACACGGCCTCGTCAATCACGCGTTCCATGTTTCTCCTAACGGTGCGTTTACCGTTGATCAGGGCTGTTTTGGTCGTTGACGGGAGAGATTGACTCGTGCTATTCATGTATGCGTTACGGCGGGGAAATGAGTTTTGCGTCAGTCGTGCGTCAGAAATGTGTTACACGTTCGTATGGTCCTCCGCTGGCTACGGCCTAGTGCATCGTATAAAACTGCCATGGACACGAGCCGAGAATGGACAGTAAATGTAATTTCCCAAAATCATACAAAACGGATGCATGACATCCTCCAAACCTCAAAGACAGAATTCCTGCCAACCCTGGGCGTATGCCCTGGTCCTACGGTTGCACAGGAGCGGATGTGAATCAAAAGCTGATTGCACTGATACTGTGCTTTTGGAACAAACCACTTGAGTCCCGATTAGCCCGATAGCTGTGCAGCTTGATAGCAGCAGCCTCAGAACCCACGCCCATTCATCTTCATTCGATAGGCTCCACTGCTGCGAAATACTGGCTCGGTGTCAGCTATTCATGCTGACCTGATAAGGTTAAAGTGGTTTGCGAATTTCGTTCCAGACTTCAGGTCTCGGCGCCACCCACGAGGTCAACGTCGCCGCGCACCGACTGGCGTTTCTGTCAGCGTCGCCATCCTGCTGCCCAAGCGTCATTCGTCATAGAGCACACCTGGGCGGCAACTCGAGGAACAAATGCATCGCCGCTTGCTTGGCGGTCCCGGTCCTCGATGTCACTCGATCATGTCGTATCCCAACGTTTGAGTAGCTCTGAACTTGCCGCCACGCGGCGCTGGTGTCGCGCGGCCGCCGGTCGCTGGGTCGGCGGCGTCGGCGGCGTTCAGTGCTTCAGCCGCGGCAGGGGTGGGCGGCCGTCTCACAGCGTGCGGCGAGCGCCTCTCCGGCCTCTGACAGTGCGAGGGTGAGGCGGAGCGAGCCGGACGAGGCGGGCCTCGTGCCCCGGACTACCGTCGCTCGCACGGTGATGGTGCAGACGTAGACAGTGTCGCGATGGGAGGACAGCACGCTGCGCCCACAGTCGGCCGCCTGCTGGTGGCTGCCGGTCTACTGCTCAGCCTGGGAGGTCTCACTCGAGGTGAGCAACGGACGGGCGGCAGTCGGGAGCTCGTGCGGCGCTAGAGCCGCCCCAGGCGGGCTTCAGACGAGCGCCAACGGTGTCCGCTGATGCTTGGTGGAGCGAGCAACGGTTGGCAGAGATCAGAGGGTTATCAGTGGGTTATCAGAGGGTTATCAGAGGGTTATCAGAGACAAAACTTCGTTGGCTGCAGTCCAGCGAGCGACCGAAAACTTCTGAGCATTTCAATGAGCAGACTGGAAACATTATTATGGCATCTGAAAATGTCACACCGCAGCCAGGTGCCGGTTTTTCATTGTCTCTGTGATGCCAGAGCCTTGCCTTGAGTTTGCATGCAATGAGCCCGGAAATCGCACAGTTTGTGACGCGTACACCTTTCAAAACAATCAGTCTCGAAGTCTGAGTTATGCGTTCTTTGTAAACTGAGAAAGTTTAGGTAGAATGTAGTGCCCTTTAACCGATAAATGACGTTCATTGCAAACTTTACATCGCATTACAAATTTAAAGCAGATGATGAAGCAGCTTCGGCGGTCCCAAACGGTCCAAATTAAGGTGTTTCATATCCCAGACTGTCTTCGTCTCTCATCCAACGTTCTCAAAATGTTTACCCGCCTTCGCAAAGCAAACACGTGAGAAGATAAGCATGTACCACACCTGAGATCGCGAGTTGCCAAGAGTAGCCAGGAAGATGGGCTAAAACCTGAAATCACGCTACACCAGGAGCAGAGATTGTGCCGGCGGTGCGAAACTTCTTCAGCTTATCTGCCGACGCGCCGTCAGCTTCGCGCTGTTTATCCCCGTCAAGTGGTGCGTGCGCTCACGAAAGGCAGACGTGTTTCTGCACGCGCCAGTTGGTGTGCCTGCATTTGGCCGTGTCGGGCTGTGTGTTTTCTGAGGCCCCCTCCCGTTGTTGGTTTGCCCTTCATGTATTTGCTGGAGTGTTATAAAAGCTCAAGGGAAGTTCAGCATCACGTGACCTTTACTTTCTTTGGGAATGTTTGACGCTCTTACCACTTTGCTGCTGTAGTAAAGGACTGCTGGGAAAATGGTGCAAGAATACAACTTGCGAATTGCCGTTGGTCAAGATCCAGTGGGCTATATCTTTTCAGAGATGCGCATTTAAATAAGGGTTATGTTGTTGGACCCTCGGTTCGGACCTGCAATAGTTTGCACAAATAGTCGCCCCTGCCTGCATGTTGCATTTTTTTTGCGCGTGTGCTGCTGTTCTTGTGCGCATGCGCGCCGGCACGATATGCCTCGTCTCCCTTAATTGCATCTGGAATCGCCGGCGCGTCAGTAAATTAGGCCGAAACCGTGGAATGCAAACGCCGGCTCTTGCAAATGAGATATGCAGGCTCATTGCAAATTGAATTAACCTAAGCACGCATGCATCCTCCGTGATGGTCCGTCGTTTGCCGCGGGGATGTTTTCGGTGAGAACGTCAGATCTGGCTGGCGTGCGGCGCCGACATACATCACAGCAGCGCACATTTTTGCTACGGCCGCCGGACAGCAGCGGCTGTATCGCCTTCGATCGGCACCTGCCGCCCGGCGCTACGGTGATAAAAGGAGCACAGCGAGCGGCGGAGCACAGCGAGCGGCAGAGCACAGCGAGCGGCAGAGCACAGCGATCGGCACCTGCCGCCCGGCGCTACGGTGATAAAAGGAGCACAGCGAGCGGCGGAGCACAGCGAGCGGCAGAACACAGCGAGCGGCAGAGCACAGCGAGCGGCACCTGCCGCCCGGCGCTATGGTGATAAAAGGAGCACAGCGAGCGGCGGAGCACAGCGAGCGGCAGAACACAGCGAGCGGCAGAACACAGCGATCGGCACCTGCCGCCCGGCGCTACGGTGATAAAAGAGCACAGCGAGCGGCGGAGCACAGCGAGCGGCACGTTTGCGGATGGTACTTGGCGGTTCTTAGGGGTTGTGGCTCATGTCGGTGCCCGGTTGCGTGAAAGCATCCCTGGCATTTTGGCTTCAAAGCTGGAGAGGGTCCAGGCATACCTGGTGATTGAACGCTTAGGCTGAGAACTTTGGTGCCATGTGTTAGAAACTGGGAGTAGCATAACTGTACTTACATTTTTCTGCTCCTGTTCGCAGCACATCATTCATAAGTATGTCATGTCGCCCACGTAGATGGGGAGAAGTTTCAGCCCCGGTCAGTCTGGTCTAGCTCTAGGATGGTGTTATGGGTGCTCCTAATATCTCTGAACCATGCGTTTACGTCGGAAGAGGATTTCTATTCACGTCGCTCTCCAGACAAGGTTTATAGGTGCAGCTGGCTTTTTGAGGGTTCTGTTGAACCCTACGTTTAACCCAAATGTCCCAGAGACAAAAGAAATCTCCCCTCAGAGTACCCAATTCACAGCTCTGACGATCCTAAACTACACACCATATCGGCACCTGAAACTCAGGTGTCGGGCAGTCCCTCTTCGATAGAGAGAGGCCGGCCCACTTCTGCTCGCAGTCAGCGGCTCACCCTGACGCACGCACACGGTCTGATCTGCGGCGCGCGTCTCTCACACGGCGCTGCTGTTGACGTGCTCCTCCCGACGTGCATAAATATTTGACGGGCCGGCCCACTCCTGGACCGGCTGCCAGCCGGCGTGCCGCCGCCGCCGCCGCCGCCGCCGCGCAGCTGCGTTTGAAGTCAGCACGTCCTCGAATTTCGCCCGGCACCGAGAAGATCAAAGTCGTCATAGCTGACGAGTCCAGCTGACGAGCTCAGCTGGCGACCAGCGGCGCTCTGGACGATCCAGCGCGGTCCGGCTGGCGCGGCTGAGTCAGCAGGAAACCCGGTCGTCGCACGTGCCCGGCCTGCCTGCCAGCTCCGCGCCGGCTCGCCTCGTCCTGGCTGCGGCGGTGGAAGGCGACATCGCACGTGCTGCTGCGCTTTGGGTGCAAGGGGCTGTGTTTACTCAAAGTGCCGTCACTTACCGTAGCCGGTATTGCCAGCTGGCATGTATCCTTGTCAGTCCTTCTACTCCATCATCGGGCTTGTTTTCCCTGTTTACCTAGTGATCAGTTCGGCTTATGTCGTGCCTTTCGACCATGTTCCTTGTATCTAACGCTCAATCCATAACACAGTGCTGGCCTTCCATCACGCGATATGAAGTCACAGCCTCCGCGGCTCGGCCTTAGTCATGTGATCGGCTCGAGCCTGGCGTGCCGACCGCGGGCCGCCGTTCGCCTCCAGCCGACCACACGCGTCACCGGCTCGACATCAGTCGTGTCCGCGCCGACCGCGGCCGTCATCGGACGACATGCCTGTTGCTGTCCTGACAGGCCGTGACGGCGTCTCGGCCGCGCCCGCGCGCCGGCCGAGCTGCGGGAATTCCCGGCCGCCGGCCTGCGCCCGAATTCTGCAGCTCGGCCAGCTGGGGCCGCCGCGGACAGGCGAGCGCCCTGACCGGCATTGATTGAGGAGCAGGCACGGACGGCGGCGCGCTGTTTGACATGCCGTCAGTCGGCCGGGCGCTTCAGACGGCCGCGACGCAACCAAAACACAGAAGTTACAGCGTCTCAAAATACGTGATCCATCGCCGCGGGGGGCACGCGAACGCCGCACGCGCGCCGTGTTTTATGATTTATCCGACAGGAGTTTATTTGCAGTCGGCGGCTCTCAAAAACGCTGGGCCCCCGCCTGCTGTCGAACAAGCGCCGCCAGTCATAACCGGCCGGCCGCTTGTATCCGTGCTGTTTAGCTAACCTAATTGAAGTTAAACAGCAGCAGCGGGCGCGCTCTCCGTGCCGGTATTGATTTTGTCGCCGGGCGGCGGCGGCGGCGGCGGGGCTCCCCCAGCATCCCCGCGGGCCGGGATGTAGGGGCGCCGAGACCCCGACCGGCGAGCGGCGACGGCGTGCCGGTCGGCGCGGAGACGAGCGGGCGCGCCCGCCGACGCGTGGGCGCGCTATTCCGCCGGCGGCAGCTGTGTGCAGTGTCGCCCAGATCGCTGACCAGTGAATACAACGGCTAGTGGCCATCGGACCGAGCGCCTCCGGACCAGCAGGCCAGGGGAGGCCGGAGCCGCGCGCGCGGACCCGGCTCCCAGCGGCGCCTGGCCTGCGAGTCACCGCTTCATCTCCGGGCATTCATCATGCCGTGTTGAGGCGGCGCGGATTCAAAATACACACGCGCTGATGGAATGTAAACAGCGCCGCGCCGGTCACCGGTGGCCGCGCCTGCCGGCCGGCCGGGCCGGCTCGTGTCAGTTGACACGACACTTGATGTCCTGCCCCAGAGGACACGCCGCGCTCGTGTCCGCCGCCTGGCCCGCTCCGGAGCCCCGGGCGGCGCCGGCGGGTCGCGCCCGGTCGGGCGGGTCGTGCGCCCAGGTGACGGCCGGGTGGACCCCGCCCCGGCGCCGCTCCACGCCGCCGGTCGTCGTGCGCGCGATCGATGCAAGCGGTCGGGGCGCTGTTACTCCACTACGTGAGAGACGGCCGGCCGCCGGCCAGGACGCCCGCCCGGCCCAGTTGCGCCAAATTGAACGGTGCGGCGGCCGCGATTCTGCCGCGGGTTCGGCGTGGCGCGCCCGCTCGCTGATAGTAATCGCCGCGTTTGCCGCAACCGACCTGCCGGCAAACGTCGTGATGGACGGCGCCTTGCGCTGACCACGGTGGCGGCGTTCGCGCTACCGGCCCGCCGCGGGCCTTTCCTCGTACGCCACCGCCGAAATGCAGCCGTGTTGTAACGCCGCCGCCCGGAGCCGCCGTTCTCCGCTCGGGGGAGCGACTGCGCGGCGCGGACAGCCGGCCGCGCGGCGCGGCCCGACGCACAGGGGACGGTCAGCTGTCTGGCGGCTGGCCGAACGGCGCTCCGACCGCGCTGCGTGCACGCGCTCGGGGGGGGGGGGGCTGAGTCACCGGCCGGGCAGCTGCGGGAGCGGCGATCTCGGCGCATCGGCGGCCTATCCGGTGCATCTACACGGTGGTCGCGCGCCGGCCGCCGCCGCCGGTGCGGCCTCGGATCAGCATGCGTGGGCTGGTCCGGCACGCG